TCCCTAGATCTTTGGCTTCTTGACACTTCTCAAGCTTCTTTAAGGTCTCTAATGTAGGTAGAGACCTTTGGTTTCACCTTAGAAGGTGAAAAATCTCTTCAAGTGATGTCACTCCTTAGAAGAAGATGAACTACTTCAATTCTCACCACACTCTTTAGGAAAAGGATAAGAGAATTGGAACCAAATCAAAGATATTTCAAGACTTTAGGGAGAAAGAATTCAGAGATATAACTCAGCTAATTCTCAAAATAACATCCAAAAGTATTTACAAAAAAAAAATAATATATAGAGTGTAGTTGGCTTATGGTGCAAGCTAAACTAACCATGGTCAAGTGGAACCATGGTTAGCTATCTTGTACTTAAACTAACCAACTCTAGTTACCTTCCTAGAAGCTTATGGAGCAAGCTAAGCTAATCCTAGTTTAGAAATAACCTAGGCTAGCTAAAATTAACTCCATCTAGCTAACCTAATGATTACTTTTAACTAGTTTGTTGAGATGTCACTTTCAAGGCCATGTGACTTATTTTAACAAACTTGGATGGATTCCTCACCAAGATTGGACGTCCAAACCACTTTCTTAGGCAAGTGGATGTCCAACCTTGGTGGATTTAAAATTTGTTTGGGTCATCCAAGCCTAAATAAATCATGGTCTAGTCTAGTTACACCTCCCCTAAACTACTAATTATACCCTTAAGTAAAAATAATACAAAGACAAAATTATCTACACTACTTAACCCAAAATACAAGATCAAATGAAGTAAAAATCTCCAAGCAACATACCCTAAAATCCTAAGGGTATGACCTACAAAGAAAGATAAAGGTGCCTTACAAATACAAAGGCAAAACTAAGTCTATACAAGTATCTACTATATACAAAGTACAAGAACTCAAACTATACAAGGTATGTACAATAGAGACTATGAGACTAAAAAGAGAAATCATAATCAATGTTCATATAGAGCATAGGTCTAAGAAGCACCTCCTCTATAGAATCCTCCTCTAGCCGCCTAACCATTGACCATGTTGAAGGTCCAATGGCCTTTAAGTGTGAACTTCCCATGGATCAATCTTCACCATTCTTGATCTTATCTCTTCCAAAGGAAACCTTAGGGAGTAGGTTTCCATCAAGTGTCCATTGGTGCATTAAATGCATTTCACTAAATTATCACTTCTTATTTAATTAAGGAAGTTGTTTATCACCTTTGAGGTACCAAAAAAGAGGAATTATGCATGTTAGTTTGAAAACAACTTTCTCTGATATTTCACTTGCTTCTAGGGATATATATATATGCTAGTCTTTTTTTTAATGCAAAGCATTTTTTTTTTTTTTTGTTCCTTTACAAAGTGAGAGTACTGAATAAGTTTTTTATTCCTTTAGATCTATTAAGGAATATTATAGACAAAGTGATTTGGTTATCAAACATCATAAATTAATACATATTAAAAGTTTGTGTCTTATAGATAAAGTGATTTATATGAGAGACTTGATGTCATAATAACTAATCGTCTTATCGTTATTAGTCTTATAATATGATCTAAAAAATGTTTTCTTGAAAAATGATTAAGTTTATTATCATTAAAACTTATAGTTTGAGGAATCTAAGGTCATCTTTAACCTAACAACAAGCCAGAAAATGGGGCAAACTAGCAATTAATTAAGATGATGCATGGAGAGATTTTGGCTACGCAACTCATGATGTTGTGATTGTTGGTGAAGGGTGCTCCTTTCTAGCTCACAACCAGCTCCAATGGTGACAGTGGAGAGTGCGACAACAACTCTAATTCTAGGACAAGGCAGCAGAAACAGCGGTCCCAATATCAGTAGCTCTAATACCATGTTGAAAGAGATTATTTTATTCATTTGTATCATACCAATTACATTCTTATCTTATCCTATTATAGAGATTCATTTATTCCTAAATGAGGTAACTATGAAAAAAAAATTACATAATAATATCAAATCTCGTAAAATACTAATTTTTTGATTTTTTACATTAGTTAATTTTCCTCGTCCAACACAATAGTTATGTATGCGGTGGTAAAAAAAACTACAAACTAAAAAAATGCTAAATGTAGAACGTGTAAAAAATTCTGTCACAGTAAAATTTTACATCCAGCAAGTATAGTCTGCAAGAAATAAAGAAAACATTTGTAAAAAAGTGAAGATTTCACGTTGTTTAATGACACGCTGCAGTTATGTGTAGACATGGAGCTGTGTGATAAGAACAAAGCACACTATTCTTTCACCTTTTACTAAAGAATACAATGTGATTGTCTCTTTAACCTGCATACACTAATTTTTATAAAGGGTCTTCAAAAAAGGACCCTGCAATCTTCTTTTAAAATTTTTATTTGTTAATCGATAACAATACAGGGTAAATCCAAATGATGCCCAGCATTCAATAAGGTAATCACTTTTCAACAATTTTTCAATGAAAATTTGGAGTAAATTTACATTTAGATCAAACACCAGCCTCAATGCTTCAGTACTAAAAGTCATTTTTCCATCGAATGGTAACACTTTTATTTGATCCTGTGCCATCCCTGTTGTACATGGCCACTTCTTAATCTATTTCTTGACCTCGAACTAATATTTTTAACATTTATGCATAAAAGCAACTTTTTCCATATGAACCATGCCTTGAATGCACTGTATATTGGCATCAACTTGATTATGGATGCTCTATTGCACAACCAAATAGAAATGGGTAAGTTAGTTTCTCTCTTGACATTCCTCTCATCCCAGACAGCAATTAAAATTTGCCCACATTGCATCAGTTCCCATGGTTTTCTGCTAATCAAACATAAAAGCAGTCATGAAATGACTCGTGGCACTACATTCTTACTGTGCTGAGTGGCATTTTGAGAATGAAATTCAGTATTGAGGACATCTATCATATTGGCGAGCTTACTTTTTGTCAATCATTTATTAAAACATCAACTTTTGAAAATTATTAAGAATTTGGTTGACAAGCCAGTTAGTATCTCACAATCTTCTTCCCCTTTTATAAATGATTTTGCAGAATCAAGAAGCTTAACATTGTGCTCCAACTGTTCCAGTTGATCATAAGAGCAATAGATTGAACTAAGGTGAAAACTGTGGTCTGGAATTAAATCAAGGATCAAAGCCATCAACAAGAGGAATTAAACATGGCCTAAAGTCCAGAGGGATTAAATAAATGACAATTAGATAATATATTTCATTAATTTCATTCACCGGAGTTTTCATCCACACTTCTGTAAAAACAAAATAATAATAAATAAATAAAAGGAAGCTTCCAGAACAGATCCAGTACTGAGATAATCATCATTGCAAGAGGTTCCTAATAATATTTCATTATTTGTTCCACACTGTTTCAAGTGGAAAGTAGAAACAAAGGATAATGTGAATTATAACTGCCAGAGTGCAGATATCCATCAAACATAGTGAAAGTTTTAATAAAATATTATAGTGAACAGAGATCAAGCGTAAATGTAGTATAATCTACCCTAGCTTTCATCCACAAGTTTTGCTTCATCTGAAAGGGGGACTCTAATGTATTGTGTTACTGTTAACACAGTTGTTCCTTCCATAAAAATTAAAAACTGTGTCATTGAAACCTTTTCAATATTCACTATCAACATCTGCTGTAACAGGGAAGAATATGTTGGTGAGGGAGTTTGCTAAAAGTAAACTGCCATAAGTCTAATCCAGAAGCTAATACAAATTGGAAGGCAAAAAATTTGCCTTATTTATTTATAGTGGACCTACAAAATTCATCGTATATTTTGCAGCAAAAATAATTTGCCGAAGCTCACGGTTGTGAGATCATTGGTATTGGCACATGACAATGCAAGCCACTCTAGAAAATTTCAGAGACTGGTTGTTTCTTATTCACATTTAATACTCAGTGCTAATGTACATGATGTCTTCCTCTGAAATGTGCATCGACCCTCGGTCCCTTCTGCTACTCTGTTGACTTTTGTCAGGTTGACCACGCTGTGTGATCACAAGAAAAATCCATTTCAGCTATTTTGGAGTAACAGTTTTTTAAAGAATATGCAGTTGAAACTCTCTCTTTCTCTCAAATGCAATAAGCATTCTTCCCCCTTTTGGAAGGGAAACGTTTTCATATGCAAGACCCATAAAAACTTTCTTCCTTTTTATTTTCCTCTCAAATAAACAGAACTTCGGTATTTTCATCTTATATCACTCTTCTCCATTTCCTTCCTCAAACATACGACCTTATCAACATGAAGTGGCCAATTTAAGCGCTTTTGTTACTGACCTTTCTCAATACAAATGACATGTATAAATATGCTGCCTCCCATTCATCGGCCGAGAGTGTACCTGATATAGAAATATACACATGACATTACTAGGATTCCTACTAACCAGGATAGTTAAACGGGGGTTTCACACAAAAAAAGACAGGGAAAAACAACGTTCAATGCAATTTAATGGAAATTGAAAAGATATACAGTAGGCACAAAGGGTTACTTTGATCTTGGTTGCCGTCTCCCAATGCACCAAGTCTTCGCATGAGCTCCACAAAATCTGGTTTCTTCATATACTCGTGCACAAATTCATGCGAGTTCTTTGCAAAAACAAGCTCAAAATCATACTGTAAACAATAAGTTTAAATGAGTAATCAAGAAGCACAAGCCTTAAAAATCCAATACTCATCTTAGAAAAGCTAGTAATATGGCATTGTTTCACAGACAGTGATATATACCTCTTCAGCTAATGACTTGAATATGTTGAAGGGGACAATCCATTCAGGACAATCAACAGCATCCTGCAACAAGACATCACATCTTAAATGGCAGCATAGGTATATACTGTATGCAACTGTAACTAAGAGACATGGTCATTGAATGAGGACATCATAACACTAGTTACACAAAGGTTCTTTAAGTTTAGGCATGAACAAAGTCATACATCTCATAGTAATTTGACAGGGAAACTCCAAATCATCCTTGTGCTATGGGGGAACGGCTACCATGATTAGAAAAAGAAGATAAAAAACAATGATACCTCCAAATGGAATGTGTACTTTATTCCAAAAGGGCTGGAAGATTTAAATTTCTGAATCACAAAAAGGAGAATTTCAGGTAAGTAGAATTCCCAAAATCATTTCCAAAGCTACAGAGGTTCCATGCATTAATAATGAAAAGACGAACCATCAGGCCCAGGAAAACAAAATTACCTTATCAGAAAATTCTTCATCAAAACGCACCCAATAGACACTATTACCGAAAGTTAATCCTTCAGCTGCAAATTCACAGTGAAAATAGCATCCCCAATCAAGAATGACAAAAAGGACCCGTCACACCCAACAAAATTCTCACTTATATGCAGCATAGCAATCTTTGATCTCTATTTTACCAAAAGAGGGGGAAATAAATACAGCACAGAATTTTCTTTTGTTTATTACTAGTATTTAGATTGTGCATTATACATGATAAATGCTTAGTTTTATATAAAATAATTTGTATTTTTAATATATAAATTATATCATAATTAATATATTTATTTTTGGCTAGTTGTGGGGTGTTGTGTGAAATGTGCATATAAAGGAGAGAAGAAACGGAATATTGAGAAAGATTAATAGAAATAATGGGAGAGTGACCCAAATTTGTGTATTCTGACTACAAATATAGGAGTAAATAAATAAAATATTTAAGACAACACAAATCACACAACAGCACTTCTAAGCCAGAGTTATTGGTGAAGCATATGTTCATGCAAATACTTAGTACAATTGCATATTTCTATTAATTTTCTTAAAATAACAACAATCATCATGTCTTATTTCACTAGATGAGGTTGGTTACATGAATCAATTCATGTCATAGAACTTCATTGGCAACTTAATTTATTTTAAAAGAATAATAATAAGAATTGAACGTGCAAGAAAAACCTTCTCTAAGCTTCTTGATAATCACATTGGCATCAGGCATAGTTCCAATGAAAATGCCTCCTGGGCGCAGTAAAGCTGACACATTAGCCAAAGCTTTCCGGGCACGGACCTCTGTAGACCATGAGTAATGCAATGCAAACTGCAACATTGAAAAAAATTATCAGACTAAAACCAACATACGCTTTCAAGATGGAAGGATGTTCGACAGAACTTAGTGTAAATATTATGGTGATTTTGCTCGTACTGACAAAACAGCACAGTGGTGTTGCATATTCAAGGGGGAAAAGGCAGTAATCAATAACTTAAATGGTAAACATATCACTGAGTTACTTTTTTATATAATTTGTATCAGGGCAACTGTAGCAGAAGAAGGGCTTTGCAAGAACAGAATTAGATGCGAAATAAATCATCTTAAAGGTAATAAAAGAAAAATATAAGAATTCTTAACAAGAATATATGGGGGAAAATTTAATTAAAAAAAAGTTAGTTACTTGGAGATGCCACCTCTAAAGGTATTAGATTTTCTAACGGCATACATCAATTTCTCTTTCTGCATAAATACATTGATTAAAGATAATTGAATCAAGAGTGTATCATTTACCTGGCAACTACAAACATCAAAAGGACCATCATCTGCAAGAACTTTGTCCAAGCGAACCTGCAATTGTGAATGATACAAACAATTAGACCTTTTTGAACATCTAAACAAAATTCAGAAATTCGTATTGAAGCTGTAGAAAGAAAGATCACTTTCTCTAGAGAAAATTTAGGGTGTTTGATTGTGTTTTTGTTTAGTTTTTGAAAATAATTTTATGAAACAATATTCAGAAACTAATTTTTAGACAATAGAAGGGGGATAAGAAGATGAAAGAATGTAAGGAAGAACATGAGTAATAGAGATGTTGAGTTCTTTATTTTAAAAACTTAAAAAGAGGTATGAATCACTAATAATTATTTTTGTTTTTAAAAATAGAAAACAGCTTTTAAGAACAAGAAACAAAGAGATCCTAAAAATTTAATCTATTTTATTAAATAATTTCAAAAAAAATGATAATAATAAGCCAGGAATAAAATGTTTAAAAGGTATTGAATATTTGAGTTATAGTATGCTAACAACACTTACGCAACCAGATTAAAAACAGAAAGAAAAGGTGCATCTGTTATTGACAAGGAGACATAAGTAACACACCAAAATCTTCTGCTTCAATTTTGTTAAAATACATTTACCTCAAATAGAGTGATTTTGAGGGGAATGAATCTGAAGAGAAGAAATTGCGCATCAAAGTTTTAAATTGTAGTTATGGTTGCAATTTCATCACAATCCTTGATATTGCCAAAGAAATTGTAAACACTTAAAGCTGATGCAACCATAATTGCAGTTGCAATGAGATAGTAGAGTCCCAAAGATCTCAATGTTCTAGCCGCAATTGGAATTGCAAACCATTTTCTAAAACCTTGTTTTGAATATAATATTTCATTTATTTATATATCTTTCTCTGCTTTAATTCCGTCCATCTTCATTCCCTTTTAAACAAACCAAAAAGAATAAATAGAGATGAAATTTGAAGTACAGTTCAAACATTAGTAAGCTAAATCCTTGCTTTTGGGATCTACTTAAGTTATCAATCATAAAACAGAATTTTATTTTTCAAAGGGTAGAAATACACCTCATAACAATCTCCACAAATAAGGCGAGCAGGAAATGTGAACTTTTTACGTCTCTGGTGATGGTCAGCATCACCGTTGTAACGTGTCCGGCAGTCCTTGATCTGGAAAGATTGTTGAGTTCAACAGGCATACAGTGAGGACACATGCATGATAATTACAAATAGTTTGACATGATAAGGTGTATATCGTTTCACCATGTAACACAAGGATTTGAGCAATAAAACATAATTTTAAGTTCATCACCTAAACATGGGGGAAATGTATAGCTGCAACGGCAAATTTACTACAACCAGTTAAAGCATGATGTTAGAATTTAACCGTGAAGTATGGGATTTTGGTGTGTGATTTAGAAGAGCTTGGGCTCTTCAACTACAACAGCTAGCTTTTGTGGTGTAGTTCTCCCAAGGTTTTTTTCAATAATACTTACTGGGTTCTTTACAATTTGAAACAGATATAATGACTCATTGTTGCATTTTTGAAGCGTATATCATGGTAGTTGCACTATAGCACGTGAAAAAGAAGCTATTGCAGCCTCAACGGGTGCTATCTATCAAAATCTGTTTCCTTATTTGAATCCCATAGCAGCAGGGCAGCTCCACTTTGCTACCCCACTATAGCACCACTAATTGGCGCTATTGACTACTATGTTTGAGATTATCGATATCAGATACATATCCAATACAGATACAAATGTACACTTAAGTTGCCTAGAAATGACTTTATTCAACTACATTAGTATGATTTGATGGAAGTGATTATGGAAACAATCAGATAAGGAAAACCAGTGCAGACGGTTTTGGCAAAATGTAATACTTACGGAGCCTTCAGCGATGTCAATACCAACATAATACCCAACTTTGGCCTTGTCCCATTTGATAAGATCACCACCCTGATAAACAATATGAAACAAAAAAGGATGCTTAGCCAAGAAGCTGGGAATGACTTGTAGTATATAAACAACAACTGAAAACCATTAACACCTTGCCACAGGCAAGGTCAAGTACTGCATCTCCCCGGCGAGTGTAAAGCTGAATTAAGACGCTCTTAATCTGTTAAATGACAAAATTGACAAAGCAATTAATAGGCAATCACGTAACAACACTCCATGGAAAACAAATCATACATTACAAAATACAACACATACCCAGTTATTGAGTTTCTTCAAATGAATAATAGGACTCGCCTCCCGTTCTTCCAAGGTCTGGTTGGATCTTGCACTATAATGATCAGCTACTTTCCGAGCAAAATTCTTAGTGCTTTCGTCCTCAAGAAAGTGTGCACCACCTACATACAAAACATTAAAAGAAATTTAACACCGTAACCACAACCCCTTATGATCTTGCCACAAGAAAAACAATTGCAGTAGCGGTCACATCACAGATTCTTGATATTATACAAAATTGCACAAATGCACTTAATGCAGCCACAATTGTGGTTGTGATACCTCCCAGAAACCCAAAAGCCATGATGTTGCAGCAGTTTATAGGCCATTCCTTAAAACCTTGAGAAGTAGATAGAAAGCCTCTACTTCCCGCAATTGAATCATACAAATACTTTACACACAGAAACTTAGTATCACGAAATTCTCGGGGACTTCATTTATATTAGTTCAGCATCGTTCACACTGTAATATTGTTTTCATCAAATATGCTAGCAACTTTGCTTGTTCATTACACAGTCAAAACAAACCTCTACTTTTAACCTCAATCCCCAAACGGCAACCCAATATTACAAAATTAGGGTGCACTTTCATTCTCGTTCAATCGTTAACTTTACCCCCATTCCTCCACTTGAAAACTCAACCAACCTAAAGTGACAAAACCAAGGAACCCCAGATCCACATACCCTCCCAAATGGCGAAATCGAAAGTAAAAAAACAAATGGGTAGTGCAAAAAGCACCAAAAAGTTCACCTTGAGGATCATGCCTAGCTCTGGATTGAGGTGGACCTAACGAGGTTGAAGGAGATTCCTGGTACCCACGTTTCATTGGGAGCGGCGAAGAAGAAGAATGACACTCACACAGCAAGAACCGTCGGTGGGTGTCACAGAGAGAATCGAAAGTGTTCCCAAATTTTTTCTTTTTCTTTTTTTCGTGAAACTAGGAGAGAGAATTTCTGCGTTGGGTTGTGTTGTATCCTGTGTGTGGGGTTTTAATTTGAAGAGAGAGGAATGTGCAGAAGAAAGAAAAGAGAAGGGTAACAGAAAATGAATGATGTGAAGAAAGTGTTGCTTGTCACAATCTTAACTTACATTTGCTTTTCGCATCCTTTTGTGAGAGGTTCTTAGGCTTTGTTAGGCGAGGAATAGAAGTAAAATATATGACAATTAATTCATATAAAATAAGTATTAAAAAAAAAAAGGATAGATTAAAGTGAATTTTGTAATTATTTTGTAGAGTGAAATTAGATATAAAGAAATAGAGTGAATTTAGTATTTTAAAATTGTTTTATATAATTGAATTTTTATATAAAATAAATGATATTCATAATTATTTTTTTTTTCTTTTCTTATAATATAGTTTGGATTATTGTTTTATTATTATTAACATAAATATATATATATATATATATAATTTTTATAAATAATTTTATTCAAAATAAATAAATAAAAATTATTTTTGTTATTATTATATTTATTTATTACTATTATTTGGGGTTTATTTTTTTATAAATGATTTTGTCTAAAAATAATAATATAAATTATTATTATATTTGTTTATTATTATTAAGAGTTTAATTATTTATAAATTTATTTAAAATATATATATATTATTATATATTATAACCTCTCCTTCCTTCTTATTTTTATAAAAAGAAAATTTTTTCACACTTCTCTCATTTTAGAGGGAAAATTTTTTTTAGGTACTATTTCATTATCTTCACAATTCCTCTTTATTAAACAATACAAAATTTTTAATTTCTCTATACTTATCTTCTCTTCCCCCTCTTCTTCTCTATTTACTCTTTACCAAACAAGGACTTAGAATTAAATCCATAAATTTTAGTTTTTTAAATATTGTAATTACGTAATTTAAATCTTTAATTTTTAATTGAGTAATTATATGATTTTAGTTTCTTTCATATTAAGAATTGGAATAGATTAAGTACAATTTTACTATGAACATATAAGTCAAGTTTGTTCTATAAAATTAAAATTTAAGTCAGACTTATTTGCATATTATCTATCTTAAAAAAAATTTATAAGTCTAATCTTTATTCAATTATTTAAAAGTCTAATTTGTATTAACAACATAAAATAGTCCAATAAAGTTAATTTCAAAGGAGCCAGCAATTGTATTTTTAAGGTTAAAATATTTTTATTATCTATAGTTTCACTTATTTTAACTTTTAGTCCCTATAATTTAATATAGATCTTTTTAGTCCATATACTTACAATTTTTTAATTCTTTTAGTTCTTATCATTAATTTTTTGTTTGTAATGTTGTCTCTATTGATGTTGTAGAGGTTTTTAATTTACATGGACTAGAAGGATTAAAAAATTGTAAGAATAGGAACTAAAAATATCTATTTTAAACTATAGAGATTGAAAAAGATAGGTATAGGAACTAAAATAGCCTATTTTAAACTATAGGGACTAAAAGATAAAATAAGTGAAATTATAGGGACTATAAACATATTTTAACCTATTTTCATATACAAGTAAGAATAATTTTTTTTAATTTGCATGATAAAAATAATTTACTCTATTATTATTAAAATTTAGAGTTTATAATAATATATAAAAAGTTATTAAAAAAAACTAACTAACTAAGAGACAACACATGCATACCTGATGGTTATTTTTGTCAATTTATTTGATGGGAATATATCTTTATCAAAAAGAGAGTTATTTCTTTTATTGTTAAAAAAACTAACTAAGTGACAACTCATGCATATCTAATGGGTTATTTTTATCGATCTGTTTGACGGGGATATATCTCATGCATATATTATGGGTTATTTTTGTCTTTTGATGGGATATATTTTTATCAAGAGGAGAGTTATTTTTTTTATTATTTTTATCAATTTTTCACACACACAACTCCACAATAGTAAAATATTATCCACTTTGGATTTAAACTCTCATGATTATGTTTTTAGTTATCACCCAAAATGCCTCTAAACAAAGAAATATGTGTATGTTTTATAAAATTTTATTTCTCTTATTATTCTATCAATGTGAAACTTGGTTTATATCTAACAATACCTATGTACACTAACATTCATTCATGCACAGGCTATAATGAAAGAATATAATTTTATCGATAAAATAATTTCTAAATATTTTCTATACCATATTTGATGTATTCTAAATAATCATTCATAAAGATAAAGTTAAAGACAATGCTACTACTAGAATTTCTTATATTTTATTTCTTGATTTCATACTACCAAAAAATATAAAACATTTAAGTGTAGTGGAATGTCGAAAGTATTGAGGGACTATAAACATATTTTAACCTATTTTCATATACAAGTAAGAATAATTTTTTTTAATTTGCATGATAAAAATAATTTACTCTATTATTATTAAAATTTAGAGTTTATAATAATATATAAAAAGTTATTAAAAAAAACTAACTAACTAAGAGACAACACATGCATACCTGATGGTTATTTTTGTCAATTTATTTGATGGGAATATATCTTTATCAAAAAGAGAGTTATTTCTTTTATTGTTAAAAAAACTAACTAAGTGACAACTCATGCATATCTAATGGGTTATTTTTATCGATCTGTTTGACGGGGATATATCTCATGCATATATTATGGGTTATTTTTGTCTTTTGATGGGATATATTTTTATCAAGAGGAGAGTTATTTTTTTTATTATTTTTATCAATTTTTCACACACACAACTCCACAATAGTAAAATATTATCCACTTTGGATTTAAACTCTCATGATTATGTTTTTAGTTATCACCCAAAATGCCTCTAAACAAAGAAATATGTGTATGTTTTATAAAATTTTATTTCTCTTATTATTCTATCAATGTGAAACTTGGTTTATATCTAACAATACCTATGTACACTAACATTCATTCATGCACAGGCTATAATGAAAGAATATAATTTTATCGATAAAATAATTTCTAAATATTTTCTATACCATATTTGATGTATTCTAAATAATCATTCATAAAGATAAAGTTAAAGACAATGCTACTACTAGAATTTCTTATATTTTATTTCTTGATTTCATACTACCAAAAAATATAAAACATTTAAGTGTAGTGGAATGTCGAAAGTATTGATAATTTTATTTTTTGTATTACAAATTTATTTATTTAATTATATTGTTAATAATTTAATATGTATATTATTTTTTTATTATATCATATGGAAAAATAGATTGGCCTATCAAACTCAACAAACATTTTTATAAGTCTAAATTTAGCCTTTTTAAGTAAACAAATTAAAAGATTAAATCTAACATTTTATATTAAATAGGTCAGGTCAAATAAGGCTTTAAACAAGTTAGGTCTATTTAAGATTTGACTTATTCTCATCCTACTCCCAATTTATGCAACTTAAATATATTAACAATTGAGTCAACACCATTTAAATGGTTCATGTATTTGCAAGAAAACCTTAAAATTTTTGAAACATTGCTGAGTAAAATGGCTTATAGGTGGGATGAAAGGAGGGGAGGTTTTAGAATAAGGAATAAGGTAGTGGATTTAACTTATTTTGATGTTTGTTTAGCATTGAAACTTCCAATAGTTGGCTAGAATGTTAATTTTGAAGAAGAGGTTGATTGTCATGCAAGGAAATTGAGAAGTTTCAGAAAAATGATAAGGGAAATTGTCCTTTTTCTTATGGAATCTCATTATTCTTTCTTTCTTTTTCAACATGTCTTTGAACTTTCTAACCATGAGAGATATCTCATCATTTTTCAAGTTCTTAGACTTATCATTTGAGTTATTGGCCTCAGACTTAACCTTTATAGCCTTCCCTTTATCTATCCTCTTGCTTGTTTGAGCACTTCTCAAATAATTGACTCGTTAGCTTTAGGATGGTCTTTGTTGTTCAAGTGAACATCATAAACTCACAAGGATCCAAGAAGTTCATCAAGAGTAAGAGCCTTCAGGTCATGCGCCTCTAAGATTGTTATGGCTTTAGGCTCCCAGACCTTTGGAAGACTATCCAAGATCTTGAGATTATTTTAAGATTTTGAAAAGTCAATTCTTAGGAATTTTAACTCATTTAGAATTGTTTGAAGTCTTCCAAACATTTCGTCAATGGTCTCATTCTCCTTCTTGGAGAACAACTCATAGTGTCTCTGAAGAGTGACAGTTCATCTAAGTATGAGATCTTTAGTACCCTCATGAGTTTTCCTCATGACTTATTGCATTTCTTTGACCATGGAGTAGCTGCAAAACTTCTAGTACTTTATTTTGGATAAGGAGCAAGCCAAAATGTATCTGACTTTTGTGTTGAGCTATAGAATGTTGTAGTCCTCCTAAGTGTATTGGCTCTCAAGCTTGGTAACAACTACATCTCCTCGTGTGATGATCTTCTAGAGGTGGTATTGGGTGGATTTAATGAACATTTCCATTCCATCATTCTACTACGGGTGGTATGCTCCTTTAAAGGTTGGTGGCCTTGTAAGAGAAGCTCCTTCTAATAGGTACTAACCTTCACTACTTCCCTTAATGGATCTTTTCCTTTAGCATGATTAGATGTTCAACCCAATCAAAGGCTAAGTGACCTCTAATACCAAATTGTGGAGAAAAGATAGACACTAAAAGGAGGGGTTGAATAACATCTACCAAAACTCACATGTCCCTCTTAATCTGTGGAATATAAGAGAAACACAAGCAACCAAAGACTTTCAAATTTATCAATTTTGGTTTGAAACCATACCAAGCTTCAAATGGGGTTGATTTTGCAAGAGCTTTTGTTGGCAATTTGTTCAGAAAAAAATAGAAGTGCTCGCAGCCTCTGCCCATAATTTTTTTGGAAGATCTTTGTCATGAAGTAAACATCTCGCCATTTTCAAAACAGTTATGTTTTTGCGCTCCACAACCCTATTTTGTTGTGGGGTATAAGGTGTTGTCAATTGATGTTCTAACCCTGCATCTTCATAAAACTTGCTGAACTTATCAGACGTATATTCTGTACCATTATCTGATCTTAATATTTGCATTTTTCTTCGACTTTGATTTTCAACCCACGCTTTAAACTTGTAAAATATGCTAGCAACCTCAATTTTGTTTTTCATGAAATAAATCCAACGCATTCTTGAAAAATCATCAA